AGAGGGGTTATATTTAATTGTCTTTACAAGTACCTCCATGACTAAACCTTCCGTTGAAGTAATTTTGGGAAGGGGCGAAAATACTGGTTAGCTGATTGGCCTATGTTGGTGATAGACGGTAGGGATGCACGATATTGGGATTTTGGCCGATATCCGATATGCCGATATTTTAAAACTCATGTAGCCGATAACCGATATCGATACCGATGTTAAAGCTGGACAAAAATAAGTATTCATTGAAAATAGCAGTTTTGTTATCCATTTCTGACACTTTAAAAAATAATATACTCAAATATATTTTCATATGCTGATATCAAATAGATTTTTAAAAACGCGGTATCGATCTATTTTACTTTCAAAATCTCGTGAAATTTCATCGTTCTGTTACAAACTCTCGTGATATTTTGCATATTCTTGTGAGATTTTGTTAGTAAAATAGATCGATACCGCGTCAATATATCAACATATAAAAATATGGCAACATTTCATGAATTTTCGGGGGATTTCGTAGCATAACGATGACATATAGCAATATTTCATTAGTAAAAGAGATTGATATGGTGTTTTTAAATGGCAATATATCAGCATATGAAGATATTGGGATATTTTAATGGATCAATATTTTTTCCCTCGTCTTTAGACGTTTTTAAGTCTAAAAAAGAAGTTTTTGAGGAAGAAGAAGAAGTAGTATTTATTTTTTTTTTAGACTTTAGAAACTCAGAAGCAGATCAAATATCGGGTTAAATATCGGTGGGGCGGCCGATGTCCGATATTCAGTTTTAAGGCCGATACCGATAGGGGGCCGATTATATGGTGCATCCCTAATAGACGGGCCAAATAAACCAATCGGATCAACGAAGCATATGACGTACTAACAGAGCGACGACGAAAACACAACCACAAGCCAGGCTACTCTTGCCGAAACCAGTCGGGAGAAGAGCAAAAACATCTTTTCCTCTGAGAAAAGCCTCCAGAGCAGTGTTTTGCTCTTCTTTCAGTGAAGAAATACTCTGTAATTCCGATAAAACTTGCTCGATAGCCACGCTAACGCTAGTTTCATCGGCTGAAGCCGCCATGTTCTTTAGACTGAACTGTCGCGCTTCTCGTTGCGTCACACCTCAACCCGCCTCAAAGCCAACGCTGATTGGACGTTCGTTTGGTGAACGGCTCCAAATTTTCTTTAACGGAGAGTCTCAGGACTGATCTGCGAGTGAAACCTTGAAAGCTCGCGAGATCAGGATGGTCTCACGAGGCTAGCCAAACGTCACCCATTGCAAAGGGGTAGACCCGTTCCTCTGTTTCAATTTTCATGTTTTCTAAGCAAAAACAAGGCTTTGTTTTTAGTCCACTCTATAAAGCCTTGAACTCGACGCTATTTCTGACATTTTGAATTAAAAAAGCTTCCTGAATGGGAAGAAAATGTCTTCAAACTTGGAAACAAAGTCCAGCAGATTGTTTTTTATTTTACTTTTTTGGAATGACTATGACTTATATATATGAGAATCTTCACCAACAGGTCAGGGAGGATTTCTTTTGTCATCAGTCCAACAATTGTTTCTATTGTCTGCAAATAATGAGAGAGCCATGTGTAAAACAAGACTGGGCTAAAGGCGCAGCCCTGTGGGACACCGGTATTAAATATTATGGTGGATGATTTGGAGGAACCCATCCTTACTGGCTGGTGTCCGTTAGGCTGAACGTCCTAAATCATCCAGATAAAGGGAGGTTATAGGTCGCATTTCCTGTAGTTGGTGATCAAACAGCCTCCTGATGTGACAGCGTATGGAGATTTCCACGGACCTGTAGACATGTTGGTGTCGGTGCATTTAATGATCATCTGTGATCACAGGATCTGTAGCTGCAAAAGATCTTATTATTGTTTGGAAAGAAGTAGATCTGGTTTCTATTATGAGCTGAATAGAGACAAACAAAGGAGAAAGTTCTTCTGAGAAATCTAAAAATAAACTCTGGGTCTGCAGACATCTAGAAAAGGTTTGTCAGAGGAAGATCTGGATCGTTTGTTCTATCGTTTGTTCGTTTGTACCAGCATGAGGCTGCTGCAGGTTCTCTGACAGAGCAGCAACATGTTCAGGCAGCGGTGGAGCTAAACTGGCCTCCCTGGCGTGTAAATGTGAGTGTTTGTTGTGGGATTCCTTCCTCTCTGCGTCTCTTGCCAATGGGCGACTCCAAGTCGACCTGCTGCGACAGGAAGCAGTATGAGAGGAATGGTTGGAGAGGAGACTCCACCTGCCTGGACTCAGACCCCACCCACTCAGACCCCACCCAATGCACAGCTGCAGACGAACCAAATGCACTTGCAGGTGTGAGTCAATTATTCACAGCATTTTCTCAAACAGCTGCTGCAAAAAAAGCCTCTAAATAAAAGTTATTCTTGTTTTTTACTTTTCTCACACTAAGAAAAATATATCCGGGGTTAATGATGAATACATTTAGTAAAATAATAATGTAACAATAATGAAGTAAAAGAAAAACAGCTGAGGATTCACCATGCAGTTAACCTTTATCCACTTTATCTGCTTTCTGATTGCAGGAAAACTACAGAGCAGCAGAAAAACTGACCAAAAATCAAGGCCAAACTCTCAATAGCATCACAGGCATTCATTTCAAATAATTCGGGGTCTTTAGAGGAAAAGTCGCTCATATTCAGAATTCAAACTTCTGAAAGTTCTTTAAATGTGAAATGATTCCATCCTGTTCAATAAATGATCAGTGTTTTTAATTCAGAGTAATTTTCATGTGAATGTGCTTTACTGGAGGCATCACAACGCGCTATTATCCAAGTCATCTTGAAAACATTCTTCTTCCAAATGTTGGCTACATATTACGGGTTTTTTCTCTGGCCAGAAGTTCGATGGCAAATCCTCCCTCTTCAAGTTGGCGATCCAACGACCAACCCGTCCGTGGAGGATCAGGAATCAGAAAGGTGGAAGAACTCTTTTTTTCACTTTTACCCGATGTATTCCAGCATCCAGCTGCCATGCACGTGGGCATTGTCAGTTTCACTATAGCTCTGGTGAATTTCAATGGTGAAGTCCTCTGGAAATATTCAATAATTGTTGTTGATTGCAGATGTAGTAGTTCCCATTGATATAGCTTGTAAAGCAGGGAGAATGGAGCTAGGCTTACCGCACCGTGACGTCACTGCTGGAAGATGGCAGGAGGGAGGGGTTACTACTAAATTCATTAAATCACCATGAATGTATTAGTATTGTAGTATTGTACTGTAAATGCCCCATTAGCGCCGTCGTTTGAGAACCATTCCATTCCCTTCAGTTTCAGTTTTAGCTCAAGCCTCTCTGTTGGAGAGTGTTTTACCAAAGAACGGGGGGGGGGGGGGGGGGGGGTTTGGGGGGAATCGTATTCCGAAAGATATAACTAGGTCTGCGTCATCAGAGTACAATGAAAATAGCTGCATGAGCTGGAACGCTGCAGAGAGGGAAAGCAAGAATACTTATACAACAATGACCATCTGCCATATTTACTAGGGGGCAAATATAACTCAAGTCACTTGAACTCGACCTCTCCTCCACTGTAGTAGCTCTGGTGAATTTCAATGGTGAAGTCCTCTGGAAATCTTCAATAATTGTTGTTGATTGCAGATGTGTCTAGTAGTTCCCATTGATTTTGCTTGTACAGCGGGGAGAATGGCGCTAGGCTTACCGCACCGTGACGTCACTGCTGGAAGATGGCAGGAGGGAGGGGCTACTATATTTGGGCAAAAATGGCCGCTCCCAGACTCACTTATCGCAACGAAAATTATAGCTTTTATTTTCTAACTGATTAAGGCTAAGTGAACGTATTATTTTTAGGAATAAATAATGATCCATTGATTATTCTTTGTTGACTGACTTTTCCTTTAAGAACCAGGAAAATCGTATTTCAGAGGGTCACAAAACAGCGTCTCATCCCTTCAACAATCGTATGAAAGAAGCAGGAAGATGTTAATCGGTTTCAGGTGTCTAATGATTCACATAACGCCTTTATGGGAGACATTTGGTCAGAAGAAAACCTGGAGAGACTACGATTGGCTTCACCTTAATGTTTGGTGAAGGTGAAATCAGATCTTCAAAGAACCACAAAAAACAGGAAACTCATGGGATAAAGCCTTCAGTTAACCCCTGATCAAAGAGCATCATCAAAAAAAATGATGAGAACTTAAAGATTGGACTAAAGAGCAGTTCCTTCTTAATTTAGCCATCCCTCCCTCCCTGAGGGGAGGAGCTATGATCTGGGGATGGCAGATCACAAACGCAAGGAACCCAAAGAATGAGGTCAGCAGACCGTCTGAAGGTACAGAATGACCAGCAGTGATCAACTTCTTCATGGCACAGCAATAATCCAAGATGGAGGCTCCAGGAGTTCAAAGACCAGAAGACTTCAGAGTTATTCTGAGCTAAGAGACCAAAGAACTGCAGTGATTCTTATTTCTCTCTTACATTTGAAACAAATTCCACAAAATCAAGCAAAGATAACGCATTTTCTTTCTTTCTTTTTTTCTTTTAACAATGAAAGGCTTTTATTCTGTTTTATGGCATAAATTTTGAACCACTAAAGGATGAATTTACCTGACCGTTAATAATTATAAATAAAGATTTTAACCAAACTGGAAATCTGTGGTTTCATCTTAAAACTAAAAAACAGGAACATTTAATTCCTTAAATCTGTCAGTTATTTAAAAATATATTTTTTAAAAATATGTCATCTTGTAAGAAAAATAAACAAATTGCAAAATGATCATATTCCAGCAAATTATTTGCAGGAATTAATAGGACTAAAATAATAAAATGAGACAAACTGATTTAAGTAGTATTAAACAAAAGAATGGAATAAAAGAAAATAAATAAAATATTATTATTATATATTTGGATCAGGGAAGCCAAGGTTCTGCAGGAATGACATAAAAATACAGGTTTTGGAACCGCTAAGCGTTAAGCTGAACCTTTGTCACCAATAGATGAACTTGAAACGTGTTTACTTACTAAGACCAGAGGTGTTGATGGCCTTCACCGACTTCTTGATCTTATACAGAACCGATCGGTCCAGGTCCAGAGCCTGCAGAGCGAACACAACAGATCACACATCAGCACCGGTTCTGAACTTTACTGAACTTAAAACAGGCGGATGGATTTTTAAACGCATAAGGTTAAAGTCTGGGCAAAAACTGCAGCAACATCTGCCTTAAAAAGACAAATTAAGGATTAAAGGGCAAGTTAGCGTCTTTGATCCCATGCATACCCCTTACAAATTGAGTCCCCCACATCCCTCTAACCTGACTCTGCCAGATGGATTTGCTCCGCATATCCATCTGGAAACCTTCCGTTGCAGTAATTTTGGGAAGGGGCGAAAATACTGGTTAGCTGATTGGCCTATGTTGGTGATAGACGGGCCAAATAAACCAATCAGATCAACGAAGCATATGACGTACTAACAGAGCGACGACGAAAACACAACCACAAGCCAGGCTACTCTTGGCGAAACCAGTCGGGAGAAGAGCAAAAACATCTTTCCCTCTGAGAAAAGCCTCCAGAGCAGTGTTTTCCTCTTCTTTCAGTGAAGAAATACTCTGTAATTCCGATAAAACTTGCTCGATAGCCACGCTAACGCTAGTTTCATCGGCTGAAGCCGCCATCTTCTTTAGACTGAACTGTCGCACTTCTCGTTGCGTCACACCTCAACCCGCCTCAAAGCCAACGCTGATTGGACGTTCGTTTGGTGAACGGCTCCAAATTTTCTTTAACGGAGAGTCTCCAGACTGATCTGCGAGTGAAACCTTGAAAGCTCGCGAGATCAGGATGGTCTCACGAGGCTAACATCCCTCAGTAGGGGTGTGCAAAATAATCATAATGATTTATGTTGGACCAAAAAAAAATGTTTCTTTTACTCTGAGTGTTTTTCATGAATTTCTTATAGAAGCACTTTTGTTATTTTTCTTACACAGCAAAAAATGGAAATCTAAATAAGTCATTTTTGCTCAAATTTAGTGCATTTTTTCTTGAATTGAGGAGGTAAGTGAGACACTTTGCCGATGGAACGAGACAATTTACATTTAAAATAAGAAAAAACTATAGTTTTGTCTTAATTCAAGCATATATTAGCTAATTATCTTATTTTACGAGTAAAAATACTCATTCCATTGGCAGGTCATCTTATTTACCTGCTCAAATTAAGGGTAAATACACTTAATTCAAGACATTTTTCACTTATTTCTAGATGTTTTTTGCTGTGTAATATATTCGGGCAAGTTGGGATTTCTTGTTATTACATTGACATTCATTTTTGCCATCATAATTTCCATATTTATTGACGTTACAAAGGTAATAAGATCGTGTCCTGGATTCCAAAAATACTATTGGCTTAAAATTTTGATTTTCAAAGTATTTCACTCAGTGCCCTATAAAGGGTTAAATGATCCTGCATTGGACCATTGGTTCCACTGACTTATGGATAAAGATCAAATAAGGATCCAGGAATAATCCTTATGGGAGTGAAAATCTGTCCAGAGGCTGAAAGAAGAAGAAATATGAATAAAAAAGGTGAAACAACTATTCTCAATGAGCAGAAAAGAAATAAAATGATATCAGGCCAAGAAAACTAATACCATAATACAATCTTAGAATCAGGGAATTGCATAAAACCAACCAGTAATTCTAAAAGTGCTGCTCCTGCTTCTAGTTTTAATGCTGGATTTTTTTATTGCTTATCTGAAGGCGTCTCTGTCAGCAAAGACAAGTTAACCAACGCTATAAAAGGAAAGGAGAAGTTAAAGCAAACGCTGACAACCCAAAGACACGTAGACCAAAAACCATCTTTCAGGTCACCCTGCTGTCTGCAGCCTGAAAGACTGGAAGCCACTGTCGCTGGAATGCCTTCGCTCTTATGTGCAACATGGAGGGGGTTTTTTATACAGTAGATTTCTACAGATGACACCAACGTCAGCTCAACGGAAAGATGTTGGGCTGCCGGGGGGTCAAAAATAGACGCTTCTTTCACACGTGTTACTCAACAGGAAAGTTACCCAAGAGACCAAACACACATTAACCACTTTATCAGGCCCAGTTCTACTGCTAGCTACCACAAATGGCAAGACATACAAAAATGGAAGGACGTTTTTAGGCATCCAGATGAGCCAAAAAAGCCTCACTGAAGTTCAGACTGAGCTTCAGAGTGAGAAAGGACTTTTAGAAGTTGTCCGGTTCGTTCTCAGTTTAACAGCAGATGACCTGAAATGGAGAAAATGTCGCGTGAGCTGCAGCTGCGGGTTACAGCAGCAAAAAAAAAACCCATAGCAGGCACAACTTCTCTGCAAAGAAAAGGAACCAAAGTGACGATTGATGCTGCAGAATTAGTGACACCAGCAAGAGCTGAAGGCAAAAACCGAGTCTGGTTTCAGGAGTCTCCACGTCAGCTCTCTGATGGTCGGGTCATACTTTGGTTTAATCATAAAAATATGCATAAAAAAGCCTTTGTGATTACTATTTCTGCTGCTGGTGGCTCCTTAGAACCTCCTCAGCCAACCTGGGTGCTAGCGTCAGTTTCAGGATAATGGGTCATAGTGGAAAGCTCAGGTCAACTTGCCTTTTGTATCTATGCTTCTTTTTCTATGTCTGCTTCTGTCTCCTTGAACCCCAGTCGGCCTCAGCAGATGGCCGCTCACACAGAGCCTTTCTTCCTGTTCAAAGGGAGTTTTTCCTCTCCACTGTCGCTACAAGCATGCTTAGTGTGAGGGATTGCTGGAGAGTCAATAACCGTATAACGTCATCAACCTCAGCCCTACTACTGTCCCGATTCATAAGAGAGGAAGACTGAGAACAAACAAAGTCCCCGGATGTTGTTCTCGCCCCTCCCTATTTACCCAGCATGCATCAGAGCAGACTCGTCCGTTCTTGAGATTGACAGCTGTCCCAGCATGCACTGTGGCAGCAGCAGCTTTCAATGGAGCGCTCCATTGAAAGTTAAAAGTTGTCTTTTATGTTGCCGTTGTTCAATAAAAGTACGTTTTGAGATAATTCGAGATGAGAATATTATACTTTAAAGCATCACTATATGGTCCATTTACCGACGTAAGGCCTAATAAGAAAAAAAAAATTGAAAGTTGAGAGGACCGCAGCAACAAGCAGAGCCCCGAGGCTAACGGCAGCCGGTCCTCTCTCTGCATAGCCGTGTGTGAAGTATCGCTGGCTCTGATGGCGATTTTTTGTTTTGTTTGGCAAAATGTTCATTTCATTTTTGTTTATCTGACTGTGTTAATTATTATTCCCCCACTAAATAAAAAAGTAATAATTTATTATCTAGAAACTATTAATAACAGGAAGTGAAATACAGTTCTAGACGAGCCGGGCATGTGGTGACATCATCAGTACGCTTCTGTTCCAATCGACCTATATCTATGCTGCGTTCTCCCATTCTCACCAAGTCCAGACTTTCCTGTGTTCTTCTCAAGAACATACTTGGTGAGGACACTAGTCCGTACTCGCTTTCTAGTGAATTGAGAAACGGCCAATGAGTCGGTGCAATCAACTGGTTTTCCTTAGATAGAAAACTTTTAATTGATTTGGATGATCTGGTGAACTGGAAAGTGCCTTGAGATGACATGATGTGAATTGGCGCTATAGAAATAAACTGAATTGAATTGAAAATGGCTTCTTGAACATGTCAATAATTTCCCTGCAGCATGCCAGTGGCCTTTCAAAGGTACCAGATCCTGGTCCAACAGAAACACTTTGGATTGGGGGGGGTAATGGTGTTCAGCCAGTACGTCTGCAGTGACTGTAGCAGATGTTTCCATCCTAATGTCAGAAAGTTTAACCCAACTTTTAAATTGTCAACAAAAAGATCATCCAAATCAAAGAGGTTTACAACCCATTATTGTGAATTAAAAAGGCAATGTGAAACTCAATGTAATTTTAGGTTACGCGTGGTTGTTATAGCAAATTAGCAAACTATCATGGACCACAGATCAGTAATAGAACTTGGTTTTAATATAGTTTTGTGTAGTTAGGATTACAACTTTATTCTTGGAATATTAGGACTTTATTCTCTAAAGAATCTGTCATAGGGAACAGTTAATCTGTCATGTGAGCTACATGTTTGCTATGATGTAATGTGTTTGATCTCCTCTTCAGTGCAGTCAAAGAACCACCTCAAGCAAGCTTAAAAACGTTTTAGTAAGTCTATTCATATTTTTCTGTTTCAATCCGCTCATCTAATGCGATACTTCGACACCTAGTATGATACAGCAACGACTAATGCCATACTTCCACGCCTAATGCGATACGTCGGTGCCTAATGCGATACGTCGATGCCTAATGCGACGCTTCGACGCCTAATCCGACGCCTCGACGCCTAATGCGACGCTTTAATGCCTAATGCGTTTGCTTTAATGCCTAATGGGATACTTCGACATCTTCTGTATCCATTGCGATACTTCGAGCTCTTCTGTATCCATTGCGATACTTCGAGCTCTTCTGTATCCATTGCGATACTTCGACATATTTGGCATCTAATGTGATACTTCGACATATTTGGCATCTAATGCCATACTTCCACGCCTAATGCGGTACGTCGGGGCCTAATGCAATATGTCCACGCCTAATGTGACGCTTCTATGCCTAATGCGACACCTCGACGCCTAATGCGACGCTTCCACTTTGACATCTTCTGTATCCATTGCGATACTTCGACATCATCTGTATCCATTGCGATATTTCGACATCATCTGTATCCATTGCGATACTTCGACATCTTCGGCATCCATTGCGATACTTCAACATCTTCGGCATCTAATGTGATACTTCGACATCTTCGGCATCTAATGCCATACTTCCACGCCTAATGCGGTACGTCAGGGCCTAATGCGGTACGTCCACGCATAATGTGACGCTTCTATGCCTAATGCGACGCTTCGACGCCTAATGAGACGCTCCGACGCCTAATGCGACGCTTCGACGCCTAATGAGACGCTCCGACGCCTAATGCGACGCTTCGACGCCTAATGGGATACTTCGACATCTTCTGTATCCATTGTGATACTTCGACATCATCTGTATCCAATG